ATTTACTTCTTTTAGATTTGTCTTGGTTTAAATTAGTATTCAAATCTCGGTCCTGCGAATCTGAAATTTTAAAAATCAATCTTTTATAATTATTGCTTCCAAAAAAATCAACCATAGGCTTTATAAGGCGAGCCGCACACTAGCTACTTTTTTGCAAATGGAAACAGGGTACGTAAAACCCATTATTTTCTATGGAATTTCTAGTTACAACTATAAATATACATCTTGATCCATTATGAAGGCGATTTAACTGTTGCACGATAAAAGAACTACCTAGTGCGCGGCTTACTTTAGTGTAAATTAGCCATTTATTTGCCGATCTCGAAAAAGCACACTTAAGCAATACAGAAAACACTATTATTTTTACCTATTCGCGTGCGGTTAAGTACACATTTTTCTCTACTTGTTAGGTAAATAACTATTACTGGAATATTAAATAAAAAATAATAGTACATAGGTAGTTTCTAACCTCACTTTATGCCAATATTTTGAAATTTAATTTTCAAGTATGAACTATAAAGAGAGATATAAAACGAAGACTTACCTTCGACGTTTGATTTCCCTGTAAGCACTAAATTCACCATTTTAGCACCCCTAGACATTATTATTCACGTTTAAACACCAAATAAACACAAAAAATACCGGTGAAGTATAGACGTAAACAACGAATTGATTCTAAATTTCCAGTGCAATAACTTGATAACTTTAGATACCTATCCCCACTCACGGTAATTTGAGCTCTTAAATTACGATTAAAACTGGATATATTTAGTTATCCACTAATAACGTAAACAAAAGTCTTAATTATTTTGTGCAATAAATGGGTATCTGAAGTTGGCCACATTTTACATTGAAATTCAGCACTAAAATTTTTAAAAAACTAGGTATCTTTAGTTAGTCGTTCTTGCCATTAAAAAACTATGATGGACTTATATGTAAGAAGTGGGCAGCTTAAGTTGTCTACTTTTATTTTATAAATAGATCTGAGCGATCTGAAAAAAATAAGGGTATCTTTAGTTAACTATTTTTAGCATACAATAATAACTAACTATTTTTTTTTGTCTACTTTTTACAATTGTCAATAGAGGTCACCTTTTTAGAGTCATTAGTTATCTAGCTTTTGCATTAAATTCTACTTAATCGTAACTATATGAAAACGTAGATAACTCCAAATCGCAAAATTTTGAGTTACCCAGTTTTTGCATTCAGCCGACGATATCATATGTCAACTTTTTCAACTTTGACATTCTCGCTTAATAAAAAATTGTTTTTTAAAATTCAATCTGGAGTACCCATATGTACGTTAAAAACATTAATTCTTCATCAAGGAGCCTTGGAAAAATAGATTTAATCGTCTAATGTTTTTAGTATCTTGTCCTGGCCAGTTATAAAATGCTCAAATCGTATTTTTAATCGTATCTCAATTTTTTCAAATGGAATGAGGATGGCCATTAGCATATTTGGAAAAAGCATTTTTTTACGAATAGTTTGGTACCACATACTTGGTATTTCAAGTCAAGTTTTCGTTACGAACCGCAAGTTATAATTTCAAATACACCATATGCGAAAATGTCATAAGTTGACGTATAATATGTCATTCTATTCAGAGTGTTATTTTCTTTCGAATAAAGTAAAAAAATCGAGGGTGCCATTTAAAAATCAAAAGTTGTAGTCATTTCCGGTGAAACAGGAAGTGACCGAAAAGAATTGAATACGTCAATCAATCCTAATTTATGCCATACACTAACATACCAAATCTCAACTTTTTATTTGAAAAAATAAAGAAGTTATAGAGGTGAGCCACTTTTGAGACGCACCCGGTATAATAAGTTTTATTAGTTGTTTCTTGGGTGTTGTGACTAGGATCGATTAAAACAAAAATCTTTCGTTACACGACGTTTTGTAATGCTTCTTCAATATTTTTTTTGTCTTTCTTATATCTTGGACTTATAGTTGCTTCTTTTGATTTCTTTACTGAGAATGGCCTGAAGGAGCATTACATTAAATGCGAAACGTCGTGTAACGAAAGATTTTTGTTTTAATTGATCCATCCTAGCCACAACCCACAACCCCCAAGAAACAACTTATAATAATATATTTTTACTAGCGTATACCAGCGACTTCGTTCGCGTCGAATTAATCATTTGTACTGGTGATGATAAAGCAAAGCAAGAATTTCCATTAACATACAAACTGGATAAAATTTTCTCACATTTATGTTAGCATGACAAAAGACAATATGGCGATATTCTTATATAACTTGGTAATATTTGAGAGGTAGTTTCATCTCGTTGGAATTTGACTTTCGAAAAATCCGTTTGCCAAAAATAAGCTTTTTACGTCAAGCAGTTTAAGCAGAATCGTGGTTAAGAAATTACCCAACTTTTTGGAACACCCTGTATGATTTTTTAAAGATTCAAGATATGTAAAAAACCAAATAAATTATGCTTGTCTAAGCGTTTTCCCGAAAGACTAACCACTTTTTAAATAACAAATATTGTAATATTTCAGTAGCGTTTTCACCCTCTTGGAATTTGAGATTCGAGAAACCCCTCCTTATCGAACCTCTACACCCCACAGTCAATCCGTTTGCCAAAAATCAGCTTTAAACGTCAAGCCGTTTAAGCAGAATCCTGATTACTCAATGGTCATATTTTATGAAACATGTTTAAGAGTTTTTCCGAAAAACTCACCGGTTTTTAAATAAAAAATATTTTAATATTTGAGGGATAGTTTCACCCCCTTAGAATTCGAGTTTCGAAAAATCCCTTCTTATCGAACCTCTACACCCTAAAGTCAATCTGTTTTCCAAAAATCAGCTTTTTACGTCAAGCGCTTTAAGCAGGATCGTGATTAATCAATGACCAGATTTTTCGAAACACCCTGTATACATTTTAAAAATCTTAAAATATGTAAAAAACAAAATAAATATACGTATTTAAGCGTTTATTCGGAAACTTGACCGTTTTTTAAATAAAAAATATTGTAATATTTGAGGGGTGGTTTCACCCTCTTAGAACTGGAATTTCGAAAAACCCCTTCTTATCGAACCTCTACACCCTAGAATCAACCTGTATGCCAAAATTGAGCTTCTTACGTTGAGTGATTTGAGCAGGATCGTGATTAATCAGTATGTCAGTCACTTAAGGATTTTATATATTAGTATAGATTAAGAAGTGAAGAAAAATGTATCCAGAAATGCATTTATTAAGGATTGAATAAGTGATTATTGAACTGTCCCTACTAGCTACCGTCAAATAAGTTAAATAAACTGAAATGACCTGTAAGAAAATAAAAACGTTGAAACTTTATATCGAATTATGAAGAGGGAATAAGATGAACTATGGCAAACATAAAATCTAGGTGCGCGAAAAACTTTCTAACAACTTTTAATGCAATAAAAGTGAAGATAAAATTACTTTTACCAGTATTAACGTTTGATTGCGTCGTTTGTAACGTAACGACTTCATTTGAAAGTACTTCTGCCTAAAAACGGACTTTTTACAACTATAGAACGACTTAACTCAGTATTAATGATAATTCTAGGCAGTAAAAAGTTTTAGAGTTAGATAATACCACTTTAATAACCTGTAAAATAAGATTATTAATTGGATTTTATGCGTATAACATAAAAATATCCTTTTTATAATGGATAAAAGCTAATTTAATGGGCCTTCAATCCCATAGTCCTTCAGGAAATATATTTTTATAATGTATCTTAGATAGGAACTATCGCAAACAAGGAATTAGGTTGCATTTTTTAATATTAATATCAAGCTTTTTAGTTATTTTTTATACAAGACGATAAAATCGTATTTTATCGTCGACCGAAAAGATTAATTCATTTGGGGAGACGATAATGCAATTTAATCATCGGTCGTGTATAAAACAATCTTTTTTTCCATATAGTGAGTTACGTTTTAAAAAATATTGAGCAATTATTATTTCAAGGTATTTATTACGAGTAGAAAAAATATTGTGCTGGGTTGGCGCTGGTTTCTATGTAATTTGACAAATAAATAAAGCTGTCTCTTTAGTTGTCAGTTTTGAGTCAATATTTTTTAATTCTCTTTCGTGTCGATTGCTGATTGAATTGGAGCTAGAAATGACTCAAAACGAAATAAGTAAATTACCAACAGATATTCAGGTCCAAACTACTTCCATTTAAATCCCGAATAACTTATGAAAAGGAATACAAAAATTTCCAAAAATGGAAGCAATTAAAAAACGTGCGAGAAGAAATAAAGTTTTTAACATATCCTGGCTGTTGAAGTATCATTTAATCTACCTTTGCGGTTAAAGTACTATTTTATCTACTATTTTTGATAGATATAAGACAATTTTAACAGTTGCTATGGAAAAAAATATTAATATTAAGAAGAGGTGCCTCATCGAGATTTTCTGTTTCCTATTTAAAGAACACGGGAAAACATTTTTTTTTCTTTGGAATTTCATTGCGTTCTCACAAATCAGCGTTTGGGAACAATCAATACATATTTTTGTAGAAAATTGGCCGGTCTTCAAAAAAGGTCTAATATAAATTTTCATTTAATCGACTCGTTTGAAAGTTATTGAAGGTTAAAGTTCAACTTCAAATCGTATATCACAACTTCCACAATTTTTTATATTTTCCCACCAAATAGCTCAAAAACATAAAATATCATATTTTAGGTGTTTGAGCCATTATTTAGTGACAAAATATGATAGTTTATGTTTATGAGCCAATGTTAAGTTTGCAAAGTTATCATATACGATTTGAAGTTGAATTAACCTTCAATAACTTTCAAACGAGTCGATTAAATGAAAATTTATATGAGACCTTTTTTGAAGACCGTTCAATTTTCTACAAGAATATGTATTGATTTTTACTAAACGCTGATTTGTTAGAACGCAGTATAATTCCAAAGAAAAAACAATTATTATTTCCCCGTGTTATTTAAAGGGTTATTTTTTTTGGTGCATCTACTGTATTATGTAATCAAATTAAGTAAACTCTTTACCTGATAGTATATTCCTGCAAATATTAACATGTTTAAAACCAGCAGTAGACATCCCACTCCAACTGTCACTCCTAGGGCTGCTGTGTAACTGTAGTAATGTCTCGTGGCAAGACGCTCTAAAAGTTCTTCACTTTCTTCATCGTCATCTAAAAAAAATAGAATGAATGATTATCAATGAAAAGTTCATTGAATGGTTTTTATTAATATGTTGTAGAATAAACATTTCTTAAAGAAATAATTAGCTTAAATAATGAGTCAAAAGATAAACGTAAATTTATCAGTAACTAATTTATCAGTGACAATAAAGCAAAGCAAGAATTTCCATTAACATACAAACTGGATAAAATTTTCTCACATTTATGTCAGCATGAGAAAAAACAATATGGCGATATGATTATATAACTTGGTAATATTTGAGGGGTAGTTTCATCTCGTTGGAATTTGACTTTCGAAAAATCCGTTTGCGAAAAATAAGCTTTTTACGTCAAGCAGTTTACGCAGATTCGTGGTTAATGAATTACCCAACTTTTTGGAACACCCTGTATGATTTTTTAAAAACATTCAAAATATGGAAAAAACAAAACAAATTATGCATGAAAAAAAAATCGTGGGTGTTTGGGAAGGCTTGAAAGTAAACAATGTTTTTGCCACGTTTCGTGACTTTATTGTCGCTTCTCCAGGCACTATAGGAGAAGCAGTTTTTTTTAGAAATATCAAAATAAAATTAACTGGCCATTTGCCCAAAACATATATTAATCCATATTATGCCTACAAACATTCATGGCGATTCCAAACACCCACTTTTTTTTCTGCGTACTAACTACTGGGAACTAACAATAATCATAATGGAAAACAAATTATGCGTGTCCAAGCATTTTCCCGAAAGATTAACCGTTTTTCAAATAACTAATATTGTAATATTTGAGGGGCGTTTTCATCCTCTTGGAATTTGAGATTAGAGAAACCCCTCCTTATCGAACCTCTACACCCCACAGTCAATCCGTTTGCCAAAAATCAGCTTTAAACGTCAAGCAGTTTAAGCAGAATCGTGATCACTCAATGGTCATATTTTATGAAACACTCTGTATAAATTTACAAAAAATCTTAAAATATGTAAAACAACAAAATAAAATATACGTGTTTAAGAGTTTTTCAGAAAAACTCACCGGTTTTTAAATAAAAAATATTCTAATATTTGAGAGGTGGTTTCACCCCTTTAGAATTCGAGTTTTTCGAAACACCCTGTATACATTTTTAAAAAATCTTAAAATATGTAAAAAACAAAATAAAGTATATGTGTTTAAGCGTTTTTTTCGGAAACTTGACCGTTTTTTAAATAAAAAATATTGTAATAGCTGAGGGGTGGTTTCACCCCCTTGGAACTGGAATTTCGAAAAATCCCATCTTATCAAACCTCTACACCCTAGAATCAACCTGTATGCCAAAATTGAGCTTCTTACGTTGAGTGGTTTGAGCAGGATCGTGATTAATCAGTGAGTCAGTCATTTAAGGATTTTATATATTAGTATAGATATAAAATAATCGTCTTTGAATACAAATAAAAAAAAAACAAACACACTCACAGGCACGAAAAACGGACGCATTAAAATTTTGATGTATTTTAAAGTTTTATATATCAAACTTTAAAATATATCAAAATTTTAAGGTGCCCGTTTTTCGTGGCGGTGAGTCTATTTAAAAAAAACGCATACCCCTTTGAAATGCCATATTTCCCAAGCCTTTATGAATACGTCAGTAATATTTGTCTTGCCTTAGAAAACCATTCCTTTGTTGTCAATGTAATTATTAACTGAGGTTATAAATTGAAATCTCTCTGTTCTCCTATCACAAAAAAACGTCTATTCAATCGGCAACAATAGGTTCTAAGCGCGAAGTCTCGTTAGTTCGCGGAGACTTGTTTTATTAGCCGAATCGACATTGTTTCATATATATCTCAGATATGAACGATGCAGGCGTTTGAATTTCGAAGACAAAAGATCTGCCGATGCATACCTACGTGCAATTTTTGACAAAGGCATATTAGGATTTAGCTGGAAAAATGCTGAAAAATAAATCAATTATTACGAGTTTTTGAATTTGAATAGTGGGTCTAGAACTGATAATTGATTGTGAGTTAATGAAAAATAAAAAGATCACAATAAACTAGTCACTTTAGTGGGAAACTAAAATTCAGTTTTTGAATGATGAACTCTATAGTGCACAACCTTAGCCCACGGCCACACAGAAAGCGTTTTTAGCGTTTTGCGTTTTTTGCGTCTCAAGCGCTTTTCGCTATTTTACCGTTTTAAGCGCTTTTGTCGATTTGCGTCCATTAAAAACACGCAAAAGACGCGGCAGGTCTGCAATTCCTATCAAGATGTCATTAACGTCGCGCGTCGCAAGCTCGTGGATTCCCGGCCCGTCCAACAATCAATCCTGTGAGAAAGAGATAGGCGAGATCGGCGCTGTTAGCGTTCAAGAGACGAAGATAAAAGATGTTGGGATTGAATTGTGGACGGGCCGGGGAATATATTCGGAGACAAACACAATCTACTGCTAGTGCCAGTGGTGTGTGTAAAAATAATAATTATTATTTGCCATTTATTTTACGAATTTTAGTTTATATGTGTATAGTTTTTTATGTTGTGGTGTTGTGGTTAGTACTTGTTATAATTATAGTATAATATAATAAATAATTATAATTATATAATAGAATAGTATATAAATATTTCTAGTTGCTAATGCAATTTTAGGACATGATTTATGAAACATTTTGGAGTGAAACTTCTTTACGCGCGCTAGGAGTAAACATTCAAGGCCGTGACCTACGAGCTAGCGAGACGGCCCTGACACACGAGCTAGTTGTAACGAAACGTGTTAACTGCTTAGAAATACGTAGTGACACGACGTGTATCTATTTGTGAGCAGTCCACGTGTTTATCAAAAATATTGATATTTTAATACAAATTTTGTAAAAGTGAATCAAATTATTACGTGTAAAAACCATTTGTAACACGTAAAAAACTATTTTTATTATTTTACGCGAATAAAACTGTTATACGTAAAAAACTATTTTTTACGCGTATAAAACTATTTGTTACTGGCAGAAAACGATTTTTTATGCGTATAAAACTATTTGTTACGTGTAAAAATCTATTTGTTACACGTAAAAAACTATTTTTTTACGCGTCAAAAACTTATTGTTTCTGCTAAAAAACTTTTTTACGCGTATAAAACTATTTTTTACGTGTAAAAAACTAATTGTTACATGTAAAAAACTATTTTTTTACGCGTCAGAAACTTATTGTTACTGGTAAAAAAACTTTTTTAGGCAAAAAAAAAATTACGTGTAAAAAACTATTTGTTACACGTAAAAAACTATTTTTTTACGCGCCAAAAATTTATTGTTTCTGGTAAAAAAACTTTTTTTACGCATAAAAAACTATTTTTTACGCGAAAAAAAGAAAATATTCCTTTAATTTATTACTTTTTCAGCATTTCAAACTACATTTTTTCAAACATTTCCTTCAAATTTTTGAATTTAATATAATCTTCTTAAACAGTAGATGTTCTCTATAAAAATATTTTTCGATAATATCCTAAAATGAAAAAAAATGCATACTATTTAATCTAATTTTTATTGTATTATTAAATATTACGTTCGCCTATGACGGGGTCTCATAGAAAACGCTAAAAACGCTACAGAAAACAAATTGATTTGTTTTCATTTGCGTTTTTTGCGAGACACGCCGAACGCTAGAAACTTTTGGTGGGGCCACTCCTATATAATCCTGTTATTTTGTTTTAGACGCAAAAGACGCTTCACGCTAAAACCGCAAAAAACGCTTTCTGTGTGGCCGTGCACTTAGAAGAAAAAAACTGTTACGCGATCCAAAAACCCCAAATCATAAATATCTATACACACACATAGGTAACAATACACAATATAATATACAACTTACAATTCCATACATACAAGGCGTTTTGAAAAAAATAAGAACGATAGGAAAACAATATAACATACGAACATCCTTCAAAACATAAAATACACTTAGATTCATTAGTCACGCTAAACCAATGAGCACCGGACAACAAACAAAATATGTAATATACTAATGAAAAATGTAAATACTATATGAATGTGACAAATTTTATATTGGTGAAACATCTAGACCCTTAAATCTTCGAATTAAAGAACATAAAGATTATTTAAGAAAAGGCAATTTTCAGAAATTTAAGATTTGCCCGCATTTATGAGACACAGGATACAGAATAAATTTTAACAACGAAAATTTATTATGAAAGAAGGGATAGCCTTTAAACGAAAAATAAAAGAGGCTTTTTAATACAATCTAATAAAAATAAATGTATTGTGCAGGCATCTGTAGAGGTTAGTAATGTATGGCTATCGCTTCTTTGATTTTAATGAACATAACATACATAAGAAAAAATTAAATGCAAATTAAAATATAATCATACAGAAAGTTTGAGGTTTTCTGGTTTTATCTCATTAAGTAATTGTTAATTTTGATGTTTACCTCACGTAAAGGAAATAACATCTGGCGTTATTAACGTCCATGCACGCTATTCGGTTTAGCGATATCTCTCTTATTACGCTGTTTATTGTTATTTTACGCGAGTTTATTTTTGCGCACAGGAAATTTGACTCGTTTGCACATCGTCATAAAAAACAATTTTCGTACCACGAATTAAGGGATAAGATTTTTATCTGTATACATATAGTATACTTAATCTGTGGTAATAGTTGTAGTTAGATATTTTAAATAGTTTTTTTGTTCTTTGTGTTTTTTGATTCTGACGACGGGAAGAGATATACTTCCCGAAACGTTAAGCATTTTTTTGTCTGTTAGGCAAATTTGTTTATTAGTAAATAACTGCTTACAAGCTGGTCTCCGTTGGATTAACGCAGCTGAGTTTACAAAAAATAACTATTTTATTTTGTAGATTTTCTTACAGTACAATGCTTCACGTACCGCCAACTGTTATTAAAAATACTAATTTTTGTTTGAATATCAAAATGGACTAAACCATAAATACTATTATTTATAATAAAACTTCAAGAATAAACCCAAGCCTGTCGTGAAAATAACAGTCATTTCTAGAAGCAAGTATTACGCTGTTTGAAACTGAAGCCGTAGGGGGCTTATACTCAAGTCGGTTACCTGCATAAAATATATTTGCGACATGCTACATCTAGACGACGACGCCTAGCCCCAAGAAAGCGATCTGGGGCTTATAAAATAGGTAAAACGTTGTATTGCATTAGGAGCTGCGGATAAAAAGATGCCTGTATTTGTCTACGCGGCGTATGCAAGCATCATGTTCCCGTAACTAAGAAAAATGAAATGCCGCATAATGCCATAAAATATTTACTGCTTTCAACCAACAACCAGTGGCGGCACGGTGTTTAGGACTTGGGGAGAGTATAAAAAAGACTCGTTTTAGGCTATCAAATCATCAAATCTAAGGTCGCTGCTTTGATTAAAATCCTTTTTACTAAAATGTCTTTAAACATTTCATGCTAATGTAATTTAAGTTCGTGAAATCAGGACGATAAACTGATCATTCAAATCGCTAGCTGCAATTGTACATAATACATGTGCACACGAGTCAGCTTAAAACATCGAACGTTGCTAGAGTATCTTTTTAACTGCAAGACCAAGACCAAGAGAAAACCAAAAAAAGGAGTTTAGGGATTCTCTTGTTGGGACAGGGCCCGAATTCTGGAACTTCGATACAACATATTCTTCCGATAAAAATAATTAAAAAATTCGTTAAATATGTTTGTCCTAAAATGTTAGTTTCGAAGAGTTTTTTATTTCGATTTTTTTAAATAATTTCTGAAGTAACGTCAATATTTATATGAAAATTGGTGTCTGGAAGTTTTTTTACGTGAAAAATTTAATTTTGATGTCAATATGACTCTTATTTGTAGGGGGCGCCACCTACATGTGTCTTAACTGTTTTGATGAGTAATAACTTTTCGTCCGTACCTGTATAAAGCTAATGAGAAAAAAAATATACATTTTCGTAACTTTTTAAGTAAAAAATGTCTCTGGTAAAAATCGCTACGAGCAACCGTTCTCAAGATATTTAGAAATGAAATAGTCAATACGTGTCATTATTGACAAAAAATAAACACATAGAGTAGATAGTTATTTGACTGAAATAATAAATTTGGGAAATTTTTATTTTTTTTTAAATTAATCATAAATTTTTCTGCGAAAAAACAATGATAAACTAGTTTCTATTGAACTTTTGGCACAAACACATTTCAAATTTATGGTTTCAGTCTAATAACTAATTAGTCAGCATGTTTAATTTATGTCAGTGATGACAGGTATTGATAATTTCGATTACAAATATCTCGAGAACCATTACTCGTAGCGGTTTTTACCAAGAGACCTTTTTTTACATAAAAAACGTCGTAAATGTATATTTTTTTACTCAGTAGTTTTACACAGGTACGGAAGAAAAATTATTAACCTTTAAACCAGTTAAAAATGTGTAGGTGGCGCCCTCTACACGTAGGAGTCAGGTTGACATCAAAATCAAATTTATCATGTCAAAAAACTTCCAGATACCAATTTTTATCCAAATATTGACGTTACTTCATAAATTATTTGAAACAAATCGAAAAAAAATAAAACTTCTACACCCTGTATCTCCGAAACTAAGCATTTTAGGACATACATTTGAGTGGTGTAGTAACAAAACGTACAATCTTCTTCTGTGTCAATTTTGAGAAAATCACGAAAAACTCTTATAAATCAAAATATAGATGCAAACATAATTTTCAATGACTCTGCAGTTTAAGATAAGTACTTAGTATATTATGCTACAAGAAAAATAAAAAAAAATATTGGCGGATTAACTTCGAAATTTAAAAATTTAATTTGGAGATTGTACATTTTGAAACTAAACTGTGGAGATTGTACATTTTGAAATTCACCTGTAGTAATTGACCGACTTAACAGCAAAAAATAATATCGACGAAAATAAAGTAGTTTATTCAAATATAAAAAATCTTATTGTTTAGGATTCAAACTATCTTTTCTTATCTAAACTTTAAATCTAATTAAGTAAATCTTAAACTCTCATGCTGGGTCCCTCATCAAAATACTCGCAAATTTCTTCTTCTCCTTTATCCCCCTCAGACTCTCTTTCTGCCTCATCTAGAACGAACTTATAAAATTCCAAATCTTTATCTTTTTTCCAGTTTTCACCATAATGACCTTTCAGCAAAGCAGTGATGGTGCTAATTTTTTTTTTCCTTTATCACATTTTGATTTTAAATAATATTTGGGACAATATCACCTAAACGTTTGCCTCTTTAGCAAATCGGTTTATCAGCACCCATGGTACAAAGAATACAAGGTATGATCGATAGCGGCGCCAATTTCGTTCAGTTCGCGCATACCACCTGTGACGTCACTAGGAAAATAATGAATAAATAAAAAATAAAGAAAGTTGACAGGAGATCTGCATTTTTTGGGGTTATGGTTAAGAATTGTTTATTTTTAAGACTTTTTAGTTCGTTTAATTTAATAATTACTAAAACCAGCAGTTCCAAAAATATATTTAAAAATAATAATTATCTATTAACATGGATTTGGACGATAGGTAAAAAAACTAAATTTATTTCTATATTCGGTATAAAATTGTTTATTAGGTTTTTAGTTTGCGATGTTTATGGTAAATAATTTTCATTTTCATTGCCTCTGAATTCACATGACGACAGAGTTGAGGATATCTATGGAAAAGTAACCACAAGAGGAATTGTTACATCATTTAAAAAATGTTGGGAAGTTTATTGTTTCCCATCGAAAAGTAGAAAATGCCAATGCAGATGAACGTATTGTAATTGTGATAGAAGTAATTCTAAGGGTGAAGTTTATTATAATTAGTGGAAGTAATACCAAGGGTGAAGTTTATTATAATTAGTGACCTGTGCTTCTTTTTATATGTAGATGTTTCTGGTTTTGAGAATAAATCGGTTGAACGACACCCAAAATTTAAAGGAAGTATTTGCATACCCAGAATATGCCCATCAAGGATTATATAGCTCAAATTTCCTTTAATGGTAGGCAATTATTCAATGCAAATTAACTTTTTAAGTGACTGAAATATTAAATAGTTTACAATATGGTATATCACTAAAAATATATTACTTTTAGGTACAATTAGGGCCCGATACATTTCAAAAAGTAGAATATTATTTTATATTAAATGAGGTATTGTACTAATAATCAATTTATATTAATAACGGAGATTAAAAAATAACAGAATAAATAGTTCTTTTTTTTATACTACAAAAATAAACTATAGAATACAACATTATTTAAAAAAATAAATAAAAAGTTATGTCCCGGCCGAGATTCGAACTCCGGTCTCTCGCTTCCTAGCCCGACTCCTTACGCACTGCTCCACAGTAACTTGCTTAGCGATAATTCATGACGATATATAAACAAAATAACAGGTTTATAACAATATCTTGACGATTTGAACTGGCGCGCGAAGCGTGCTGACCAATAGCGCCTGTTATCACCTGTGACGTAGTGACCAACCTGCGCAATATCATACCTTGTATTCTTTGTACCATGATCAGCACCTAAGTCACTCTTATAGGTAACTTGTCCACGTACCTGGATTCCGTGCCTCAATCCTTTGGTAATTATTATTCGCTAATATTATTAGATTAATAACGTATGATCAAAAAAAAACGGCGTCCAGTTGGCTGGGAAATGACGATCGATGACATATAAATTTACATATAAAATGACAGCGATCTTCATTTCATAGCCATCGCTGACGCCGTTTTTTCTCGATCATACGATATAACTAATCAAATCACGTGGTCTTGTTGTGGTTTCTCCTATTGGTTGTTTGGAGATTGCACGCTTTGATATTCACTTGTCAGTGGAGATTGTACGTTTTGAAACTAAAGCCAACATTTGAACGTAAAATACAATTGGATATTGTCCATTTTGATGCAAAATAGCATCTTCTTCCAATGCAGCTCGAAATGTAGTATCCAAATCATATTTTACCGCATTTTTTATAAAATGTGGAGATTGTACGTTTTGGTTTGGTTTGTGACACCCCTCATTTATTCGAACTTTTTTACTTATTTTTATCCGCAGAATATGCTGCCGAAGTTTCCGGAATAGAGTTCGGACCATCCTGTATATTAAAAAGTTAGGTTTCGAGGGTGAATTTTAAAATTTTAAATTTTGTAGAACTGAGCCACTATAAGCCCTTGCAGCCGCTGTGGAGGGTTCCATCTGGAACCCACTCTTAGTAAATATAAAATATCCCTCCCAGAGTCAATCTCTAGATGCGCCACTGGGCTTACCTATGTCCATGTCGTCACCAGTATCCAATCCCTCGTCGGATGTGGTCTGTGGCACGCATTCAGTATTAACCGAACTGATACCACCCCCTATGCCTCCTATGATTTGTGAATCAGTCATCGATGCCGGATGCATGACAGGCGGCAATCTGGTAAAGGATTCTGCTCTAACCGCACCTGTAATGGAACAAAAAAATGTTTTTTTTTTAACAAAAGTACTAACTTTTACGACGTGATTGACAATATAAAAATGTCATTTTAATGCCTAGGCATAAAAGTAAAGCACTTTTACGCCTAAGCATAAAAGTACGAAAAAATATATTATTAAACTGACATAAGGTGTCAAATTCAACGAGCGTAACCATAGTAACGATAGTTTTTCGATATATACAGGGTGAGTTTCCTACGATATTCTCTACGGGTATCTCGGAAACTACTGGTGATAGAGAGTCGGTTAAATGGGGAAAGAATTGCAGTTTCGTGGGGTCATAAATATGCGCCTTTCAGATTTTTGAAAAAGTTCAAGGCTTACTAGATACTTCGAAAAAAAAAATTCGGTTATTTTAAAAATTGACCCTATAAAAGTTGTAGATAATTACATCCTTAATGAGATTGTGTCCTCCGTTTTTTTCTAAAGCCTGTCATTTTTGACATATGACATTTTTTAAGCTTTTTAGCGATATATAAGCTATCTATAATGTTTTTTTCGAAAAATTACTGAGTTATAGCCAATTCTTATATCATTTTTAAACAATTTCACTTAGTTAGCCATGGAAACAAGTTCAATCGCCGTTGCTCTCGGAAATGTGTCACATCCAAACTTTGTAAATTAAAATAAACAAAAATTGTAAATATGAATTTTTTTATTTTTAAAATAGCCGAAATTTGTTTTTTTCAAAATATCTAGTAAGCTACTAAGTAAGTAATAAAATGAACTTTTTCGAAAATCTGAAAGGCGCATATTTATGACCCCACAAAACTGCAATTCTTTCCCCATTTAACCGACTCTCTATCTCCAGTAGTTTCCGAGATACCCATAGAGAACATCGTAGGAAACTCACCCTGTATAGTTACATACAATGTATGACTTTTAAATGTTTTTATATTATTGGGAATGTTTGAAATTGTTTAAAAACTTATTTGTGGCGTTTGAAAAAAAATAGCATGTTCTATTCGGAGTAAAAATAACTTTTTGTGCCTCGCCTGTATGTCAAACAGGCAAGTCAAACGTACAGCCTCGCCGCAAAAAGTGTCATTTTTGCTCCTAATAAAACAATATACTATTGTTAGTGTAGAACCTTATATTTACTAATATAAAACTATCAATCACATAAAAAGGTTACAGTCCAAGTACTTGAAATTTAACTGGCAGAGAGAGAGATTTGTATCGATAAAACAGCCATTTAGGAGTGCTATCGTCGTGTTATGTTGTAAGCATCAACGTCTACAACACACCGACTACTCGATCACATTTTCCAACGAACAAGTGAGATTGATTGGACCAATCGCCGTCACTTGTCCTTTGCCTGACTTCCGGATTAACAAGGACTCTTGAACTTATCACACCCACGTGGCCACGTGTGTGTGTGTGCTTCCCCCCCCTTTCCATTATTTAATATTTCCACATTTTAAAATCGTCATTTGTTTTTACCTTACACAAAATGTCTTGGGTGCGTCTCGAAAGTGGCTCACCCGTATTACTTTTTTATTATTTCAGATAAAAAACGCGATTTGGTATGTTAGTATATGACATAAATTAGGATTGATTGACGTACTCAATTGTTTTTGGTCACTTCCTGTTTCACCGGAAATGACTACAACTCTTGATTTTGAAATGGCACCCTCGGTATATTTCTACTTTATTCGATAGAAAATTACACTCTGAATAGAATGACATATATATGTCAACTTTTGACATTTGCGTTTAAAAACAAATCGTACTTTAAATTCCAATCTAGAGTGCCATGGCTGTGTTAAAAATACTAATTTTTAAACAAGAAGTCTTGGAAAAATAGTTTTGATCGTCTAATGTTTTTCGTGTCTTATCCTCACCCGTTAAAACATACATGTCTTTATTGACAAAAAATAAGAACGTTGGGTGGATAGTTTTATTTGACTGAAATAATAACTTCGAGAAATTTTTTTAAATTTATCATAAATTTTTCAGCGAAAAAATAATAATAATACAGTTTCTGTTGAACTTTTAACACAAAAACATGTCCAATTTATGATTTCAGTCTAGTAACTATTTAGCTTTGAATAAGAAGACTAAGGAAGGAGCATATCAAAAATCTTAGGTACACCGCGATGGGCCTCAAATATGGCCGACTTAAATTCCGGTTTATCAGTGTCGTTCTAATTTTATTTAAAAAATGTAAAACTATGATGCAGGGTAGACGTGGGGTAGACTCAATAATTTGTTGTTTTATTTTACGTTGTGAATAAATGTTGGTAGTTATTAAAATTGTTATAAAAATATGTAATTCTAATAAAAATAGATAAGTTAAAATAAGTATTTATTAACACAAACATCCGATACGCTACTGAAGCAGGTAAGTCAAATTAACGTATCTAAATTCTTTGACATCTAATCTTTGACAAGTAATAATTAAAAGCTAAAATGCAAGAAAAATATATAATTTAGTTAATTTAAGTGAATTTCATAAATGATCGGTTTACTACACGTATGTATTTTATATAGTCACATACTAGCGAAAAGTTGTTCCATTATTTCACTCAATTTTTGCCGAGATCTACCGCACGCTACACAACCAACTATTTTAGAGTATTTTTCGATAAATCGCGATAGTGTCACTGTTAATTTAAGTTCTGCCACAATTTCCATCTAGATTTACTACCTTTATACAACTATCAGTAGTAGAATAAATAATAAATAACATAAAATAAGCTCCGTAAAGACTGAGAAATCCACGAAATTTCAAATCAAATTCAAATGTGTCAAATGAATCGTCAAACAGAACTGTCAAGGATCCCCACCCTAGAGAGCTTTTATGGTGGCTTTTCCGCCCACCGTGCATGAATACATGGATAGCATTATGCTCCTTCCTTAGTCTTCTTATTCAAAGCTATTTAGTCAACATGTTTAATTTATGTTAATAATGACAGGTATTTTTAATTTCGATTCCAAATATCTCGACAACTATTATTCGTAGCGATTTTTCCCAAGAGACCCATGGGCGAAGTTAGGTCGTTGGATCTGGGGGGGCTAAAGCCCCAATTATGAAACTTATTTTTACAAAACTTAAGAAGCGGAAGGTTGCCGTCAATCTCAAAAATAGCGCCGAATGCGAAAAATTTTTGGGGTGCCACGCCCCAATTAGGCTACATTTTCTCATAAAGGGTATAAAAACTTTATTAAAATGGTATTTGGACCCCCAATACCTGTTCTAGGGTAAAATAAATAGATAATAATATAATGAAAATATAATTTTCTTGTCTGTATATTGTATGCTGTTTCTTGTTGTATAAATAACTAAATTACTTTTTATTTTTATAATAAATTTATTGTAATGATTATTAAATTAAAACTAAAAGAAAACAGGCAATTAAAAAAACATCTTCAAATCAGAAGCCAATTATACAGATTATACATCTGAAACTTTTGATTTTGTTTAGGTTTTGTTCTAGTTGTTTTAAATTTAATTGACTGTTCACTAATTTTGTTTTCAACTTATCTTTTTTTATTTTTACATAATTATTTATAAATTTCGAATAGTTTAGCACCCCCAAGCTTAGCACCCCCAACCCCCAACTTCGCCCATGAAGAGACCTTTTTTACTCAAAATATGTCGTTAATGTCTATTTTTTTACTCAGTAGTTTTATACAGGTAGGGACTAAAAGTTATTATTCCTCAAACCAGTTAAAAAAAATGTAAATGGCCCCTCTACAAGTAGGAGCCATATTGACATCAAAATTAAATTTCGTACGTCAAAAAACCCCAAACACGATTTTTCATCCAAATATTTACGTTACTTCATAAATTATTTGGAAAAAATCGACATAAAAATGAAACTTCTACACTCTGTATCTCCGAAACTAAGCATTTTAGGACATACATTTATACGAACTTTTTTACTTATTTTTATCTGTAGAATATGCTGCCGAAGTTTCCAGAATACAGTTCGGACCACCCTGTATGTAGGGTGAATCTTAATTAGGTGCAAATATTTTCAGGGCTAGTATACAGGGTGTTTCAAAACAAATGCGAAAAACTTTAGGGGGCGATTCCTTGTTCAAAATAAAGGGTAGTTTGCTTCATAAACGTTGGGTCAAAAGTCAACCATTAGGGAGATATCGCGGTACAAAGATGGCGGAAAAATAATGTTTTTATTTTTTAACTTGAAAACGAAAAGAGATAGTCTAATGAAATTTTATGGGAGCATTACTGTTACGAAAACACACTTTCTGGTAATTTTTTCACTTTTTTAAAATGAGTGGAAGGGGTTGAAATAAACTACCCTTATCATTCTTGTTAACGAAATTTAAAGAAAAATCTTATCAAACACATGCAAAAAAATTGATTTGGATAGCTTGGTTTATTTAGAAACTTTTTTATCTCTTGTGTTTCTTTGATAAAACTCGCCGATTTGAAATTAAAAAATAACATGTAAAGCATTACATATCAGGATCAAAAACATTTTTAGATAAAGAATCTAGTGATAATAACGATAATAATAAGAATCTAGATAATAACGTATTGCAGTAGAGTAATGTCAATAAAATAATATTAGAAACATCCTAAAAAGTGACAGCGGCCGACTAGATTTTTTCCTAAAAAAATTAGAGCAGCCCACTAGATTCTTTATCTAAAAATGTTTTTTGTCCTGATATGTAATGCTTTACATTTTATTTTTTAATTTCAAATCGGAGAGTTTTATCAAAAAAACACGAGATAAAAAAGTTTCTAAACAAACTAAACTATCCAAATTAATTTTTTTGCATGTGTTTGATAAGCTTTTTTTTTAATTTCGTTAACAAGAATGATAGGGGTAGTTTATAAAATTACCAGAAAGTATGTTTTCATAACAGTAATGCTTCCATAAAATTTCATTAGTCTATCGTTTTTCGTTTTCAAGATAAAGAATAAAAACATTATTTTTCCGCCATCTTTGTACCGCGATATCTCCCTAATGGTTGACTTTTGACCCAACGTTTA